CTCTCTATATCATTCTCCCATTTATCACTCTCTCTCTCATTCTCCCTTTTATCACTCTCTCTCATTCTCATATTTATCACTCTCTATCTCATTCTCCCATTTATCACTCTCTCTCATTCTCCCATTTATCACTCTCTCGCTCTCATTCTCCCATTTATCACTCTCTCTCATTCTTCCATTTATCACACTCTCTCATTCTCCCATTTATTACACTCTCTCTCATTCTCCCATTTATCACACACTCTCTCATTCTCCCATTTATCACACACTCGCTCATTCTCCCATTTATCACTCTCTCTCTCATTCTCCCATTTATCACACTCTCTCTCAGTCTCCCATTTATGGGTTTCTTTCTCATGCTTGATTTATCACTCTCTGATTCTCCAATTTACCAATTTCTCATTTTCCCATTTATCACTCTCTCTCATTCTCCCATTTATCACTCTCTCTCTCATTCTCCCATTTATCACTCTCTCTCTCTCTCATTCTCCCATTTATCACACTCTCTCTCTCTCTCATTCTCCCATTTATCACTCTCTCTCTCATTCTCCCATGTATCACACTCTCTCGCATTCTCCCATTTATCACACTCTCTCATTCTCCCATTTATCACTCTCTCTCATTCTCCCATTTATCACTCTCTCGCTCTCATTCTCCCATTTATCACTCTCTCTCATTCTCCAATTTATCAATCTCTCTCATTCTCCCTTATATCAATCTCTCTCCCATTCTCACATTTATCAAACTCTCTCATTCTCCATTCATCACTCTGTCTCTCATCCTCCCATTTTTCAACATCTCTCATTCTCCCATTTATTGGTTTCTTTCTCATGCTTGATTTATCACTCTCTTATCAATTTCTCATTCTCCCATTTATCACTCTCTCTCTCATTCACCCATTTATCACACTCTCATTCTCCCATTTATCACTCTCTCATTCTCCCATTTATCACACTCTCTTTCACTCTCCCATGTATCACACTCTCTCTCATTCTCCCATTTATCACACTCTCTCATTCTCCCATTTATCACTCTCTCTCATTCTCCCATTTATCACACTCTCCCTCATTCTCCCATTTATCAATATCTCTCATTCTCCCTTTAATCGGTTTCTTTCTCATGCTTTATTTAACACTCTCTCTGATTCTCCAATTTATCTATTTCTCATTCTTCCATTTATCACTCTCTCTCTCTCATTCTCCCATTTATCACTCTCTCTCATTCTCCCATTTATGATACTCTCTCTCATTCTCCCATTTATCACACTCTCTCATTCTCCCATTTATCACTCTCTCTCATTCTCCCATTTATCACACTCTCCCTCATTCTCCCATTTATCACTCTCTCTCTCATTCTCCCATGTATCACACTCTCACATTCTACCATTTATCACACTCTCTTTCACTCTCCCATGTATCACACTCTCTCTCATTCTCCCATTTATCACACTCTCTCATTCTCCCATTTATCACTCTCTCTCATTCTCCCATGTATCACACTCTCACATTCTACCATTTATCACTCTCTCTCTCTCATTCTCCCATTTATCACTCTCTCTCTCTCTCTCATTCTCCCATTTATCACACTCTCTCTTTCTCCCATTTATCACTCTCTCTCTCATTCTCCCATTTATCACACTCTCTCTCATTCTGCCATTTATCACTCTCTCTCTCATTCTCCAATTTATCACTCTCATTTTCCCATGTATCACACTCTCTCTCATTCTTCCATTTATCACACTCTCTCTCACATTCTCCCATTTATCACACTCTCTCTTTCTCCCATTTATCACTCTCTCTCTCATTCTCCCATGTATCACACTCTTTCTCATTCTCCCATTTATCTGTCTCTCTCATTCCCCCATTTATCTGTCTCTCTCATTCTCCCATTCTCCCACTCTCTCTCATTCTCCCATTTATCACACTCACTCTTATTCTCCCATTAATTGGTTTCTTTCTCATACTTGATTTATCACTCTCTGATTCTCCAATTTATCAATTTCTCATTCTCCCATTTATTACACTCTCTCTCATTCTCCCATTTATCACACATTCTCTCATTTATCACTCTATCTCTCATTCTCCCATTTATCACTCTCTCTTATTCTCCTATTTATCACACTGTCTCCCATTCTCCCATTTTTCAATATCTCTCATTCTCCCTTTAATCGGTTTCTTTCTCATGCTTTATTTAACACTCTCTCTGATTCTCCAATTTATCTATTTCTCATTCTTCCATTTATCACTCTCTCTCTCTCATTCTCCCATTTATCACTCTCTCTCATTCTCCCATTTATGATACTCTCTCTCATTCTTCCATTTATCACACTCTTTCTTATTCTCCCATTTATCACACTCTCTCTCATTTTCCCATTTATCACTCTCTCTCTCTCATTCTCCAATTTATCACTCTCATTCTCCCATGTATCACACTCTTTCTCATTCTCCCATTTATCACACTCTCTCATTCTCCCATTTATCACTCTCTCTCATTCTTCCATTTATCATTCTCTCTCATTCTCCCATTTATTACACTCTCTCTCATTCTCCCATTTATCACTCTCTCTCTCTCATTCTCCCATTTATCACACTCTCTCTCATTCTCCCATTTATCACACATTCTCTCATTTATCACTCTATCTCTCATTCTCCCATTTATCACTCTATCTTATTCTCCTATTTATCACACTGTCTCCCATTCTCCCATTTTTCAACATCTCTCATTCTCCCTTTAATCGGTTTCTTTCTCATGCTTTATTTAACACTCTCTCTGATTCTCGAATTTATCTATTTCTCATTCTTCCATTTATCACTCTCTCTTTCATTCTCCCATTTATCACACCCTCTCTCATTCTCCCATTTATCACTCTCTCTCATTCTCCCATTTATGATACTCTCTCTCATTCTTCCATTTATCACACTCTCTCTCATTCTCCCATTTATCGGTTTCTTTCTCATGCTTGATTTATCACTCTCGGATTCTCCGATTTATCAATTTCTCATTCTCCCATTTATCACTCTCTCTCTCATTCTCCTATTTATCAGTGAAACTGGAACTAGAACTGTAAAACGTAAACGTAAGCATGCAACCACCAAGACGTAAACGTAAGAACGCAACCGCAAGGACGTAAACTTAAAAACGCAACCGTAAGAACGTAAACGCCAGAGCGCTACCGTAACTAATAAATTTGAAAGAATGTCGGGAACCTCTTGCCCCTTTTTTTGTTTTTTAAGAAATTGAAACAATTTTCGGAGTTGTTGGTGTTTTAATTTTGAACAAAATTGACTTAGTCTTGGCTGCTGGTATTGTTTTATTTTTTTAAGAATCTCGAGGACTTTTCATGTTTTATATGTGGAAAAATCTCTTGAGCCTCCGGTGCATGATTTTTGAAACAAATTGAAACAATCTTCAGGGCAGCTGGTGTTTGATTTTTGAAAGATACTCGAGAACTCTTAGAATTTTATATCTGAAAGAAATTGGTACAATCTTGGGGGCTCCTGGTGTTTTATTTTTCGAGAAATTTGAAATAATTTCGACGGCTTCGAGTGTTTTATTTTTGGAAAAATCTCGGGATTTCCTGCTGTTTCGTTTTGAAATACTTTAGGGAACCCTTGGTGTTTTATTTTTAGAATAATTTGAAAGAATCTTGGGAACCCCTGGTCTGTTTCTTTAAGAAATTGAAAGAATCTTCGGAGCTGTTGGTTGTTTATTTTTGAAAGATTCGCGGGAATTTGTAGTGTTTTATATTTGAAAAAAATTTAAATCATTTTGGGTGCTACTGGTGTTCCATTTTTCAAAAAATCCTAGGCACTTTTGGTATTTTATTTTTAAAGAATCTCGGAAATCCTTGATGTTTTATATTTGAAAGAAATTGAAGAAATGTCAGGTCAGGTCAGAACTCATAGTTTTTTATAAAGAAAAAACATGAAGCATTCTTGGGGCTGCTGGTTTTTTTATTTTTGAAAGAATGTCGGGAACTCGTGTTTTATTTTTGACATTATTTCGGGGACTTTTGGTGTTTTATTTTTGAAAGAATCTGGGGGGGGGGTGACATTTTATTTTTGAAATACATTATTACAATCTGGAAGATCGTTCGTGTTTTATGTATGGAAAAAATTGAAATAATCTTGGAGGCTGCTGGTGTTTCATTTTTGAAAGAATCTCGGTGTCCTTTGGTGTTTTATTTTTGAAACAATCTCGGAAACTTTTGAATGTTCTGTATTAAAAAAAAATAAAAAAAATGAAACAATCTTGGGGGCTGCTTGTGTTTTGGTTTTGAAAAATTCTGGGGAACTCTTCGTGTTTTATATTTGAAAAAAAAAAATGGAATAATTTTGGCGGCTGCTGGTGTTTTATTTAACAAAAATGCTCGGGAACTGGTAGTGTTTTATATGTATGTGAATAAAATTGAAATAACCTTGCAGGCTGCTGGTGTTTTATTTTTGAAAGATTCGCAGGAATTCGTAGTGTTTTATATTTGACAAAATTTTAAATAATCTTGGAGGCTGTGGATGTTTTTTATTTTTTAAAGATTCATGGAAACTCTTCGTGTTTTATATTTCAAAAAAATTGAAATAATTTTGGCGGCTGTTGGTGTTTTATTTAACAAAGATTTTCGGGTACTCGTAGTGTTTTATTTTTGAAAGTTTCTCAGGAATTCGTTGTGTTTAATATTTGACAAAATTCTAAATAGCCTTGGAAGGCGCTAGTGTTTTATTTTTGAAATAAGGCCGATGTTGTTGTTTTATTCGTAGTCTTTTATATTTGACAAAATTTTAAATAACCTTGGAAAGTGCTAGTGTTTTATTTTTTAAATAAGGCCGATGTTGTTTTATTTTTTAAGGATCCTCAGTAACCCTTAATGTTTTATTTTGGACATACATTGTTACAATCTCAGGAACCCTGAGTGTTTTATATTTGAAAGAAGTTACATGTTGAATCTCTTAGAAATAAATAAAAATCTATACAAATTTTTTATATAAGTTTCCCGAAAATTCCAGATCCAGAATGGGCTTCGTACAACCTCGGCATCTTCATCTGCACCCGGTGCTCAGGCGTCCACAGGAGCATGGGCGTCCACATAAGCAAAGTAAAACACCTGAAACTCGACCGTTGGGAAGACTCCCAAGTGGAACGAATGAAGGAAGTAGGCAACATTAAATCAAAACTGAAATACGAGGAACGTGTACCTCCCTGCTACAGACGCCCGAAAGAAAACGATCCGCAGTAAGTACCGTCGAAATAAAACGAAACCATTGTGACATTCATTTTCTGAGAAACCTAAAAATGTGCAATAAAGTGATAATCGTTCAGAGGAAGCTCACGATAACAATTTATATTTTCTCGGGAACGCCAGCTGTGTTTGAAAAGTTTATTTCTGTGTTTCTTGGAACGCTTTTCTTGTTATATAAATCGATAAAAGTATATCTTATCTTCAAGTTAAACAATAAAAATTGTTAGGGTGAAATTAAAAAAAAAAAAAACTACATTCTTGTGGTTTCAGAATCCTCATCGAGCAGTGGATCCGCGCTAAATACCAAAGAGAGGAGTTCTGCCACCCCCAGCGCCAGACCTACATCAGCGGCTACATGGAGGGCTTCCTCATGAAACGCGGCAAAGAGGACAGCAAGTACCACTCCCGCAAGTTCGTATTATCCGAGGCCGAGAACACCCTCAAGTACTTCGTCCGCGAGAACAAGTACCCGAAGGCCGTCCTCGAGGTGTCCGAACTCAACGTGGTGTTCGCCCCCGAGAAGATGGAGTACGCCACGTCCCTGCAGCTCACGTTCCTCAAGTACGGCACCACCCGCCACATCTACGTGTACCACGAGGACGGCGAGGTCATCACCAACTGGTACATGGCGATCCGGTGCGCCAAGCTGCACCGCCTCCAGGTGGCGTACCCGTCGGCGAACGAGGCCGACCTGCTCGGCTTCCTCACCGAGGACTTCGCCAAGGAGGGCTGGCTGTGGAAGACGGGCCCGCGCACGAGCGACGGCTTCAAGAAGCGCTGGTTCACGCTGGACAACCGCAAGCTGATGTACCACGACGAGCCGCTGGACGCGCACCCGAAGGGCGAGATCTTCTTGGGTGAGTGGCGGCGAGGGGTTGGCTGAGGCGACACTTTTGGGGTTGCAGGGCACGCGCTGGACGGATACAGCATTCGAATAGGGGTGTCGGCGGGGGTGAAGGACCAGGGGTTCTCGTTCGCGCTCACGACGCCCGACAGGGTGTACAACTTATCTGCTCAGACTGAGTCCGAGAGGGACGACTGGATCGAGGTCATCGAGAGAGTATTAGAGCGGCCGTTGACGCACCAGGACGCAACAGGTAAATATCTTGGTTTATTTTGTAGAATGGGAAAGAGTAGGTCCCGTTTCTCGAATACAATTATTGACCGATTTTTTTGTTTCAGTGGGCGCTCGGCTGGTCCGGAAGAGGGCGAACACGAACTCGATAAGCCGATTCTCCCCGAGGTAGTCATTACATATCAAATACATATAACTTTCATTCATCATCACCATGCCTAGTCCTGTATTTATTATACAATACAAACATTTATCCATTCGTCATTCATTAATACTCATCTCAAAGTACAGGTAACTATTTTATATTACGACGTGAAGTGAAGTGAAAGTAATTTGTATATAAATAAAAGAACACTGTCTTGAACAATGTAGTATCTGAAAGCTCTCTCTGGAAAAGCAGACGATGATCTCAAGTTTCTTTAAACAACTGTCAAGCAATAACGTTATCTGTAGTTACTTTGTTTATGATCTGTACAAGAGTGTCGGGGGAGGCGGCGATGGTTCGGTGCACCCTCATCTTCGTAATATTTATATATAATTCCTTTTTAGTATTTTTTCGGTGTCAGAATGTTTCTTTGTGGTGTATGTGAGGTTTTTGCGTAGCTGTAACCATGTCTCACTGCCATTGTTTTAATCACGAACCAGACTAGGAAGTCGAGGGGGTCCAGTGCCATCTCCGCCTTTTGTTGACTAGTTTTATTTTATATTCCAAAAATTTAAGTTCGGGGAGCGAGGATCAGCCGCTTTTTTATTATTTTAGTTTTTGGGAGAAGAACGCTTTAATTTCGTGTTATTTTACATAGGCACAATTCCAGCAATACTTTTATATAAAAATATATAATTTTGCTAGTGTTGGAGTTGTTCGTTTGACTCTTGCTCCTGTACCTTTATTATAAGCTAAATATTTACAGTGATAGGTACCATTGTTTGTATTACCCATTTGCCAAATATAAGATATACACTGCGAAAACTGTTTTATTTATTATCTGGAGTATTGAAAACCACAAAACACTCGTATAAATAAACCAAATTAAAAATCCAGGAGTGCCAGCAGCTCCGTCATCGAATTTGTTTCATTTTTTACTTCCCGAGCGTAAGCAAAGGAAGTATTGTAATCGAGTCGTCGGCCGACTCTCTACTTTTACGTTTTCTCGATCTTTCATGACCCCTAGAAGACGAAGAAATAGGTCTCCCATTTCCATCTGTCTGTCCGTCTGTCCGTCTTCAATTTTTTTTTTTCAGTTTTTTGATTTCTCCATTTTCGAGATTTTCATGTTTCTATTTTTCGATTGTTCAGTTTCCTGACTTCGATTTTTTTATTTATCGATTTATCGATTTTATTAAAATTCTTCAATTTTTAATATTTCGGTTTTTTGATTTTGGGTTATTTCGATAGATCGATTTTTCGAGTTTAGGATTTTTAAATTTTTTGATTTTTCAATTTTTCGATTGTTCAATTTTTGGATTTTTTAAATTTCTCGTTTTTTTTATTTTTCAGTTTTTCGAGTTTTCAATTTTTTAATTTTGCATTTTTCGATGTTTCAGAATTCAGACTTTTGCGTTTTTTCTTAATTTTTTAAATATGTCAGTTTTTTGATTTTTTGAATTTTGGATTTCTAGACACCTCGGTTTTTTCGATTTCTTGATTCTTCAGGTTTTTAATTTCTCACTTTTTCAACATTTCGAGTTTGGGAATTTTTCAAGTTTTGGATATTTTAATTTTTTGATTTTTACTTCCCGAGCGTAAGCAAAGGAAGTATTGTAATCGAGTCCGTCGGCCGACTCTCTACTTTTACGTTTTCTCGATCTTTCATGACCCCTAGAAGACGAAGAAATAGGTCTCCCATTTCCGTCTGTCTGTCTGTCTGTCCGTCCGTCTGTCCATCTGTTGTCCCGGATTTTTATTAGACAGATAATCTCCGAAAGTACTCGACCGATTGTTGTGAAATTTTGTACTTATATTAAGAATATCATGTAGATGGTAAAACACTGACCAAAATTTGTCTAATCATCCCCACCAATAATGCGATGACGTCACTTCAAAATTGTACATAGTAAATGGGTTTTCAATTGTATAAAATAACATAGTCCTACACATGTAGTTTACAACTCTGAATTGACTTTTCACCCGAAACGTCCAGATTTTTGGAAAAAAAAATCAAAATTATAAAACAACATTTTGAAATTTAATTTTTAATCTGCTAACCAGAATGCTTTGAAATGTTGCAGATGTTTTAAGGCTATAAAGAGCATCATAAATCTTTAGTCAAAAAATATTTGCTTATCCCCTCCAAAAACTTGATGACGTCAGCTCAAAAGTTTGTGGAATAAATCATATCTAAAATGTACAAAATATGATGAGTCTGTACTTGTTATTTATCACTCCGTTCATATTTTTTGGATTTGCATATACAGAGTGACTCAAAAAAATTAATGAATGCGTAATTATATTTTATTGATTTAATCAGGAACTACAAAACGAAATGCTCTGACATCTTGCAGATGTTTTAAGGTTATAAAGAGCATAATAAATGTTTGGTCAAAATATATTTGCTTATCCCCTCCAAAAACTTGATGACGTCAGCTCGAAAATTTGTCGAATAAATCATATCTAAAATGTACAAAATATGATCAGTCTGTACTTGTGATCTATCACTCTATTCATATTTTTTGGATTTGCATATACAGGGTGATTCAAGAAAATAAATGAAAGCGTGAATTTATTTTACTGATTTACTCAGGAACTACAAAACCGAATGCTTCGAAATCTTGAAGATATTTTAAAATTATCATAAGCATGGTAAATTTTTGATCAAAACGTATTTGGTCGTCCCCCCTAAAAAATTTATGACGTCACCACAAAATTTTGCTGAATAAATCCTATCTAAAATGTACAAAATATGGTGAGTCTTTTCTTGTGATTTGTCATTCCATTCAAATTTTTTCGATTTGCATATACAGGGTGACAAAAAAATTAATTAATGCGTAAATTTATTTTATTGATTTAATCAGGAACTACACAACCGAATGCTTTGAAATCTTGCAGATGTTTTAAGGCTATAAAGAGCATAATAAATTTTTAGTCAAAATATATTTGGTTATCTTCTACAAAAAACTGATGACGTCAGTTCAAAAGTTTGCCGAATAAATCGTATCTAAAATGTACAAAATATGATGAGTCTGTACTTGTGATTTATCATTCCATTCATATTTTTGGATTTGCATATGCAGGGTGACTCAAAAAAATTAATGAAGGCGTGAATTTATTTTATCGATTTAATCAGGAATTACAAAACTGAATGCTTTGAAATCTTGGGAATATTTTAAAGTTATTATAAGCATGGTAAACTTTTGTTCAAAATGTATTTGTTCATCCCTCCTAAAAAAATTGATGACGTCACCCTTAAATTTTGCTGAATAAATCCTATCTAAAATGCAAAAAATATGATGAGTTTGTACTTGTGATTTATCATTCCATTCATATTTTTTAGATTTTCTTAAGAGGTGGTTCAAAAAAATTAATGAAGTCAATTTATTTTATTGACTAAATTAAAGGCAACACTTATTATTAGTATTACACCCCAACCAACCCAATTTGGTAGACACAAAATTTGTTAAAGGAAAAACTCGGTTGAAACATAAGGGTAGCACGCTTATTTACATCGACTTTAACATTACAGACCTGCATTTGTTTTATGCGCTCACTTGGTTCCGCGAATGTGAAATAGACATGTTTATAATCAACCAATTGTGAATTTCACCGTCAAGAATTAAAATAAAACCCAATGTTTTATATAATAAGCGGAAGTCGAAGCAATAAAACCGATGGTCGTTTTGTTTACAGTTTCTCTGTTTGACTCTCACGTATGCTGTTACGCTTGTCATCTTAAATTAAGAATGTTTATTCATAAACGATTTTCAGTTGCCTTTCATATTACTACTATTTAGACAGCGGATTTTTGTCGGGCTACGTCACGATTATAGGTGGGGACGCGCTGGATCGCCGGGACACAGTGAAATACTGTCTAAACTCTTTAGACCAATTTTTAAAGGAACGGAAAAAGTTATGCAACACAATATACACGAAAAAATAACTGCTTTTATTTTTTAAAATTGTGAAGTCGGCTTGTGTTTTTTGGGTTGCGTGATTGTTCCGCTCAAATTAATTTTATTTATGCCAAGCCGGGAACCTCGATATTCGGCTTCGTACCAGGATCACATATCGTCGAGAAGGTGGCGAAAAGTAGTGACAGCGCGCCTGATTGTTCGAGTGACAGTTGAGGTATTACAGGTTTCTGTAACAAATGTCAAACCCGGATCGGGAGTAATTCTCAGAGACCTCCTCGACTTTCTGTGATCCTGTTAGGCAAGGCGAAAATCTACGTTGTCAGCGCTTAATTTTCGGACTGATTGACCCAGAATTTAATACCAAAGCAGCAAATTTCGAGATTCGGCTTCGGACCAGGATCACATATCTTCGAGGAGGTGGCGAAAGCCAACAACAGGCGCCAAATTGTACAAGTGACAGTTAATGTATTACAGGTTTACTGTAACAAATGTCAAATTCGGATCCGGAGTAATTCTCGGACACCTCCTCGACTTTCTATGATCCTATTAGGATAGGCGAAACTCCACGTTGTCTGCGCTTAATTTTCGGACTGACTGAAGACCCAGAAAATACCAAGCAAACGAATCTTGATATTCGACCTCGGACCAGGATCACATATCGTCGAGGAGGTGGCGAAAGCTAGAAACGGCGCCTGATCGCTCGAGTGACAGCTGAGGTATTACAGGTTTCTGTAACAAATGTCAAACTCGGAGCAGGAGTAATTCTCAAAGACCGCCTCGACTTTCTGTGATCCTATTAGGAGAGCGAAAATTTGTCTGCGCCTTAGTAGTAGAATCCGGAATTTAATTTATTAGACAGGGAACCAAAAAATTCAAATTTTATGCCGATAGCTGTGATTGTAACAATCTTTAGTTACGGCTACTGGTATTGTTGTAGTAATCTGTTGTGTAGTTAAACATTTATTTTAAAATGGCAATAGTTCGCAAGATACGGATGGCTCCTTCCTGAAGTGATCCAAAAATGTTGTTTTCAAGGATTTCCCACAAGATCTTCTAAATAAATTTTAAGGGGATGTAATAGTTATTTACGTGGCAAGCTTAGTAAATTAACCTTTACGGGCGAGCCGGAATGTTTGCAGGGCGAGCGACGTAGGAGCGAGTCCTGTAATCCGGTGAGCCCCAGTAAAGGCTAGTTGCAAGCGAGCCGCGTACAACGTTTTACTTCCTCTTGCTGAAAATCCTGAAAATGAACAACTTTGGGATCTCTAGAAATTTTACTTGAAATTACAGTCATAGAAATTATAGTCATTTTCCATAGTTTGCTCCGGTAACTATGGAAAATTGAATTGTTTGAAAATAACGCGACTGTCAATTTTTAAATTCGATTAATAATTATCAAGTATGCCAATATAAAATTTTAAAGGTTTCCAAGTTAATTTAAAAAATTACTAGGAATATTACTAAAAATAGGCAACACATAAATCACATTTTAATATTTTTCTTGTACTCTATATCTGCGAGTAAATCACGTTTTGACAATTAGAAAGGTTAGCTTGAACAATTTATCGATTACTTTATTGTTTGTTAAGTGAAAATTGCAACGTCAAAACACCGCCTCTCAAATAAAACAAATTTTCAATTTACAACACGAGCAGAACTGTAAAATCAATATTTGATGGTTTTGGATGTATCAAGTTTTAAATTCTTGATTTATTGGCAAAATTACACGCATATGACAAACGAAAATGAGATACTTTGAATAAAAATTAATAAATTACAAAAACATAACAACAAAACACATAAAATGGAATAAAAAAACTTACCAATTAAAGGCTTCTGCTTCTGCTACGATAGATAGCGATGAATCTCCTCTTCTTTAAAATAACAAAACTTTATTTTCTCTGGAAATTTAAGGACGCCACCAACAATTATAACATCGAAAATTAGTAGGTACGCTATTGCAGTAGGTATCCTATTTAAACTAACATTTAAAAAAATAATAAACAACACCATATAAAATTAGAGACACATTTTAACCAAGTGCGAAATTTAAATTTTTATACTAAATTTGTGTTTAACCTGACTTTACTAACTAAACGTCTAATGTTTAAAAAATTAATGATAGTAAATACCAGAAAGAAGAAAATCTTGGAACTTGAAAACTCCCATCACAGATGAATTCTTCATTTGTACCAGCTGCAACAAAAAATTTGTATAAAACATACTTCAAGTTAGATTTACTTTTTGAAATCGAATAAATACTTTCTGTTCGTTTTTAGTTTGAAAAATGAATGTTCTAAGCGTATCGTTAAACAAACCACAATTTCACCAACGAAATTTAAAGTTGTAAGTAGAAGTGGCGAGGCTGATTTGAATCATTAGTGTACGAAAGACGCGAAAGCAGCACTTCTGTCGTAGTTTGCAGTGAAGCTGTAAACAACACACTGTGGACATTAAAAGAATAAAAACAGAACTGAAAATGTTAAGGTAATAGAATGCAGTAAAAATATATCTTTTTATTTATTATATTAATTAGAAAACAATATAAAAATCAAGAACATCTCACCTTTTAAAGCCGCATCATCTGGAACTAGAAAATATATTTTCCCAGCAAGAACAAGCAATTTAGGTAGAATATAGTTGTGAAATGTGATAACAATTGCAATAATATTAATGACACAGGAGATGTACAATGTTGACTCTTGGAGCTTGCTGTAAATCAGATTTGTCTGTGGGACCATCTAGAATAAAACGAAAAGTGGAGTAAGTATATGACATCCCAAAGTTTTTTCCTCAGATTAGGTTACTATTAAACATACCATCACGATCATGTAATTAATTAGATGTTTTTTAATTACAAAACAAAAAAATTAAGTATAAAATATCTCCAATAACTTACCGACGAAAATTTGCCGCTTATGTTTAGGATGTCTTGTCGATGACACAACATTCTAATGATCCTAGCTGGGCAAAACCCTGGGAAATTTGTATCAAACTGAGAGTTTTCGGGGTGTTAAGTCGTCACTTGTGCTACCATTCTGGAAAACATTATAATTAACATGTAAAACCAGGTAAAATATACTTTGTATTCCAATTTGAAGTTGGTTTTTAGTGTGTCAAGTATAGGCAACCAAATTAACAGACATTTTCACTGGTAAAAATTCCAAAAACTAGAGTATGACCCACACGGCAAAAATTTCACATTTTGAATATGTCAAGGTTACCACTTAAATTTTAAATTTCTATCATACGAATATAACGGGCAAAATTTTTAACGATATTAATTTTTTAAACCAAATTTGCTACATCGACATTATCCCTAAAAATATTGGTAAAGGGCTTTAAATATCATATCAGGGAGAGTAAATTTAACTAAAAGACATGAACACCGATGTTATAAGAGTAAAATCCAACTGAAAACACAATACACCATGGAGGTAGAATAAGAAAAATAATATTACCCCCGTACTATAAATCTTACAAACATTGAGACCATTTTGAAAAAGCTGATAGGTCAGAGTTAGTTCTCGGTGTCAAAATTACCACCAACCAAAAATAAATAAAATTTTCTTACGTACTAAATAAAATAGGACAGTAGAATAAAATAAAGTTTGTTGAAATGTATATCAAATCTAAATGTAATATATGTGGTCATTTTTAACTCCTTTGCTCATTTAATATTCAAACTTGAACAAAACAATACAAACTATAATCTGTTCATCCAACCAACAATACACAATGGTCCAAAATTATTAAATAAAAATTTGGATAGTTGGCTTTGTCGGATTATCTTGAAAAAAATCCCATCAGAAAGTTCGTTATTGAAACCAAATTCGCAACGAAAAATGTTAGTAAAAAGTTTTAAATTACACAAAAGCGGTTTAAACGAAAATCCTACCTGAACACCGATGTCCTGTGAAAAAATCCAACCGAAAACGCAATTAAACGTTGCACAGAAACCATTTTAAAAAATCCGATGGACGCGAACTACCTGAAGTTGGCGCGCTCTGTCAAAGTTACTACCAACCAAAAATAAATATAAATTTCTTTTGTATCAATGAGCTAGAACCAGCTAGAACATTAGAATAAAATCAAGTCTGTTTAATCTAAATAACAAACAAATAAACATCTGAATCAAGTATCTGTGATTATTTTAACTTTCATCTAATTTTTAAATTTGAACAAAAGTAATACATACAACCAAAATTCTGTTCTGCAACCAACAATGCAGATTGTCCAAAATTGTTAAACCAAAATTTGATTAGTTGGCTTTGCCGAATTATTTTGAAGAAACAAAAATACCATTAGAAATTTCGTTGTTGAAACCAAATTCGCAACGAACACAAAAGGCGGTTTTAACTAAAATCCTACCTGAACACCGATATCCTGTGAAAAAATCCAACCGAAACCACAATAAAACGTTCCAAAGAAACCATTTTGAAAAAGCGAATTGGCCTGAACTACCTGAAGTTGGCGCGCTTTGTCAAAGTTACTACCAACCAAAAATAAATACAATTTTCTTTTGTATCAAATGGAATAGAACACTCGAATAAAATGAAGTCTGTTTAATTGTAAATAAACATCTAAATCGAATATCTGTGGTCATTTTAACGTTCATCTAATTTTCGAATTTGAACAAAAATAATAGTTATAACCTATAACCTAAATCACAGTATCCTAAATTCTGTCTATGCAACCAACAATACACGTTGGCCAAAATTGTCAAATCAAAATTTTATTAGTTGGCTTTGTCGAATTATTTTGAGAGAAAAACCATCATAAATTTCATTGTTGAAACCAAATTCGCTATGACAAATTTTAGAAAAAAGTTTTAAATTACACAAACGGCGGTTTCAACTAAAATCCTACCTGCACATCGACGTCCTGTGAAAAAATCCAACCGAAAACACAATAAAACATTGCAAAGAAACCATATGGAAACCATTTTGAAAAGGCTGATGGACCTGAACTACCTGAAGTTGGCGCGCTCTGTCAAAGTTACTATCAACCAAAAATAAATACAATTTTCTTTTGTAAAATAAAGTCTGTTTAAATGTAAATAATAAGTACAAACATCTAAATCGAATATCTGTAGTCATTTCAAGTCTCATCTAATTTTCAAATTTGAACAAAAATAATACAAACTAAATATGTTTATGCAACCAACAATACACGCATTGAAAAAAATTGGTAATTATAAATTTAGTTAATTGGCTTTGCAGAATTATTCGTTATTTCTGCTACTTTACCCTGTTCGAATGGGGAATTACTCAAAGAAACGACAAATGTGTCTTTCAGAACACGAAAATAAGGCTTACAACACACAAACCCAAAAAAAAACTCCTTAAATAAAGATCATTATTTCACTCTTAGCGCTCCTACAAATTCGATATATACAACATAAATAACCTAGAATCTTCTCCGCCCCTCACAGCAGTGTCTGCATCTCCTCCATAAACTGCTTGTAAGCGTCGTCCTTCGTGTGCTGCTGCGGGTGCGTACTCTGGTGCAAATTAAACTCTTTCTGCTTCAACTCGTGCACCAGCGCCCTCGTATTTGGCTTCTGCTTCTTATCCTCCCTCTTCACCCTCAACGCCGACGGCACGAACCGCGTCACATCCGCGCTCAAATTCCTGATCTGCGGCTTCGCCGTAATCGTCGCCCCCTGCTTCGTCGACTCCACCCTATTAATCAGCTGAGGCGCCGCCGACAGCACATTCGGCGTCCCAATCGGCAGATTCGGCGCCCCACCCAGCGGCGGCGGCCCCGGCAGACGGATCATCCTCGGCGGCGCCGGCGGCATTCGGATGGGCATGCGCGGCGGCGGGAGACCCGGGGGCGGCCCCGGCGGCATCAGCGGCCGGCCGGGCGGCGGCCCTGGCGGCAAACGCAACCCAGGCGCCGGGAACAGCAACGGGCCCTGGTTGAGCGCCTGCGGGGGCTGCATCGGCATGTCGGTCCCCGGGGGCATCAGAGGCTCTGGGTGCGACACGATCTTCGGCCGCGGTTCCTCGTCCTTGCCCCCTTCGAGCTTCTTCTGCACCACTTCCATCTCCTTCATGAAGTCGTCGACGTTCTGGCCGGACAGAGCGACCATTTTTTGTTGGAGAGAAGTGGGCTTGGAGGCGTCGGGGTCGGAGGGGTCGTCGGAGGCGTCCTCTTTGTCGTCGTCGGAGCGAGGGACGAAGTCGTCGACTTCGCCGTCGTCGGTGATGTCGGGGGGCGGGCCGGGCGGGCAGCCGGGGGGCTCACGGACGGGTTGGCCCTACGGAGGTCACATTAGCACGATTGGGGCAAAAGTGGGGCGACTTACGAGGGCTTGAAGTTTTAGAGCTGTGGCGATGGAGTAGATGGTGTGTTCTTGTTTGCGTTCGGTGGGGAGTGGGATTTGCGAGGGGGCGTTAGCGGGCTGCTGGGGGAGCTGCGGGAGCGGGATTTCGTCGACTTGGACTTGCTGGGCGCTCTTGACTGACTCGTAGAAGGCGACTAGTTGGTTGCGTTTGTGTTCGTAGTCGGTTTGGCGGCGCTTCAAGTCGGCCCACTTGTCGGGGTCATCTTTGTACTGGAAAAACGCACGTCGCGTCACAGTTACAAGCAATTATGGCAACACTTACGTACATACTAAGGACCCGATCCAAAGTATCTCTGAGCTTTTTCCGTTTGTCTTTTAAAACTTTTTCGTTCAATGGGGATGGTTGATTTACGTTGTATTCTAAAATGATGGTGAAAATTATCACGAATTGTTTAGAGCGTGACTGTGACATACCCATTTGGTCGATCTTCTCCATTTCCTCTAAAATTTGCTGTGGATCTTTACCCTTGAGGACCGCCGCCCGCACCATCTGTCTCTGCTTTTTGTTCTTCTTTAATTCCTGTTTCCGAGCTTCTTTGCCTTAAATTTAACGATTATAAATAATAACATAACCTCGAAGCGGCGGACTTACGAGCTTGGTCGGTGGGGTTCATGTATTTGCCACTTTTCGTGGTATTTATGGAGCGGCGCCCCATTTTGCGTGGTTTGAATGGCTTTAAATTGGAAAATTAATAATAAGTAATAAAAATTCTAACTACAACAACTGACAAATGTCAAACGCTGAATTGTCAAAGCAAGTTTGTGGAGTTCGCCTGAAATTCCCTAGTTGAAACTAGAAGTCACCAGAAGGACACAGGTCCGTCTCCAAATTTTTTACGGCCGCACCTAAAATTTAGCCACCATTAAGGGGAATCGCTGGAGGAGGGTATAACAACTTTTTCCTTTTTTCTACAATGTCATGATGTTAAAATAGATGTGACAGACACATATCGTAAAAAAATCACCATTGTCTTCTGTTTTGCCTCATGAGTCATATTAAATATTTGGTCGTAGTCCAATTTATTAAAATCAAAATATACCATAAATTAGTTCAAAATACGTCGAAAGATTTTAATAGGAGCATTGGTGGAAAATTAGGACGAAAACTGACCAAAAAAGGATAATAAGGACGAAAAACGACGAAAAAGGACGAAAAAGGACGAAGAAGGACGAAAGGGACGAAAAAGAATAACAAGGACGAAAAAGGACGAAAAAGGACAAAGAGGACGAAAAAGGACGAAAAAGGACAAAAAAGGACGAAATAGGACGAACAAGGACGAAAACGGACGAAAACGGACGAAGGACGAAAAAGGACGAAAAAAGACTAAAAAGGACGAAGAAGGATGAAAAGGATGAAAAAGGATAATAAGGACGAAATAGGACGAAAAAGGACGAAAAAGGACGAAGAGGACGAAAAAAGACGAAGATGACGAAAAAGGATAAAAAGGGTAAAAAGGACGAAAAAGGATAATAAGAACGAAAAAGGACGAAAGAGGACGAAAAAGGACGAAGAGGACGAAAAAGGATAAAAAGGGTAAAAAGGATTTTGGGGGGAGTAACTATGATTCTTCGGTGGGAGTTACTATGATTCTCCAGCGGGAGTAACTAGGACTCTCTGCTGGGGGTAACTATGAATCTCCGGCGGGAGTAACTATGACGAAAAAGGACGAACAAGGACGAAAAAAGGAAGAAAAAGGACGAAAAGGACGAATAAGGACGAAAAAGGTCGGAAAGGATGAAAAAGGACGAAAAGGACGAATAAGGACAAAAAAGGACGAGAAGTACGAAAAAGGACGACAAAGGATGAAAAAGGACGAAAAATGACGAAAAGAGACGAAAACGACGAAAAAGGACGAAAAAGGTCGTAAAACGGACGAAAAAAAACGAAAAAGGATAATAAGGACGAAAAAGGACGAGATAGGACGAAAAAACACGAAAAAGGACGAAAAGGACGAAAAAGGACGAAAAAGGACGAAAACGGACGAAGAACGAAAAAGGACGAAAAAAGATGAAAAAGGACGAAGAAAGACGAAAGGGACGAAAAAGGACGAAAAAGGACGAAGAGGACGAAAAAGGATAAAAAGGGTAAAAAGGATTTTGGGGGGAGTAACTATGATTCTTCGGTGGGAGTTACTATGATTCTCCAGCGGGAGTAACTAGGACTCTCCGCTGGGAGTAACTATGAATTTCCGGTGGGAGTAATTATGACGAAAAAGGACGAACAAGGACGAAAAAGGACGAAAAAGGTCGAAAAAGGACTAAAGACGAAAAAGGACGAAACAGGACGAAAAATGAAGACAACGGACGAAAAAAAGGAAGAAAAAGGACGAAAAGGACAAAAAAGGACGAAAAAGGACGAGAAATACGAAAAAAAACGAAAAGGACGATAAAGAACGACAAAGGATGAAAGGGGACGAAAAATGACGAAAAGGGACGAAAACGACGAAAAAGGACGAAAAAGGTCGAAAACGGCCGGAAAAAAACGAAAAAGGATAATAAGGACGAAAAAGGACAAGATAGAACGAAAAAGCACGAAAAAGGACGAAAAAGGATAAAAAAAGTAAAAAGGATTTTTGGGGGAATAACTATGATTCTTTGGTTGGAGTAACTATGATCTCCGATGGAAGTAACTATGAATCCGGTGGTAGTAACTATGACGAAAAAGGACGAACGAGGACGAAAAAGAACGAAAAAGTTAGAAAGTCAAAAAAAGAACGAAACAAGACGAAAAAGGACGAAAAATGATGAAAAAGACGTAAAGGACGAAGAAGGACAAAAAAAGGAGGATAAAGGACGAAAAGGACGAAAAGGACGAAAAAGGACGAATAAGGACAAACAAAGGACGAAAAAGGACGCAAAGTACGAAAAAGGACGAAAAGGACGAAAAAGCATGAAAAAGAACAAAACGGACGAAAAAGGACGAAAAATGACGAAAGAGGACGAAAAGGACGACAAAGGACGGAAAAGGACGAAAAAGGACGGGGAAGGACGAAAACGGACGAAAAAGGACGAAAAAGGATAATAAGGACGAAAAAGTACGAAAAACGAAGATAAGGACGAAATAGGACGAAAAAGGACGAAAAAAGGAAGAAAAAGGACGAAAGACGAAAAAAGACGAAAAAGGATAAAAAGGGTAAAAAGGGATTTTCGGGGGAGTAACTATGATTTTCCAGCGGGAGTAACTATGACTCTCCGATGGAAGCAACTATGAAACTCCGGCGGGAGTAACTATGATGAAAAAGGACGAACTAGGACAAAAAGGACGGAAAAAGACGAAAAAGAATAATAAGGACGAAAAAGGATAATAAGGACGAAAAACTACAAAATAGGACGAAAAAGTTTGAACAAAAATGAACAATTATTGAAAAAAATGGGTTTGAATTCAACACGATTTGAGTGGTTAGTTCAGGCAAAAACCTTTCTGAGGAGCCCTACAGTCTACTCTAAAGTAATTATTAGCGTTCTCCGCTGATTTTTCTAATTTATGATTATTCTATTATTCTGTCATAAATTGCAATACTCTTCAAAATTATGTTACAATGGTTTTATGACCCATGCCCCGTACTTGTCGATCCCTTGTACTAATTTCAGCTCATGTCGAGTTTAGGAAAAATTCCTGGTTGCATTTTGGGCAACAAATGGCGCCTAATTTAAACTTCGTTGATATGTAAATAAAGTTATAAATGAACAAAAAGTCGAGAAACCGTTAAATCAAACAGAATTGCTGTACACAAAATCACCTTATCTAAATTCATAGAACAAATATTAAACATAACGAGAATCCAGTTTTCCTTCTAGATAAAAAAACACTTATCTCTAAACACAAATAACCGATATATCAACGATTACACATCCAGCTACCTTAGTTACTACTTCGGACTCGCCTTTGATTGGTCGAATTTACAACCGTCCGACTTGAGTCAAAACCAACGAATAAAACGTGTCCTAATTTTTGTGAGATATCGTCAAAAATCGCGATGTTTTCCATATCCGAAACGACCCTTCATCTTGACTCAGTTTCAAGTATTCGCCACAGCACATTTTCGATGAGTTTCTGCTTAGATAAGAATGATTTTATCGAAGCCTCAATAAACACGCATGCTTATCGATGAGATTATTTCATTTAATTTAATGCAGTATGTCTTTGTTGTTACAAATCGTACCACACAACTTTGAAGAGATCTTAGCACACCCAAGTGACAATGCAAACAGACGCGAAAGCCTTTTCCGTGACGTTGGAGCCCCCAAAAGGGGACCCCTTCAACCCTGAAAAAAAAACTTTGCTGACACCAACTTACGAAATAAAGCATATCGAGAAAATCACCCTGAGTAAGTGCAACTTGGCGCAATTATCAACTTAACTTTTTTTATTGTAGTTAAAAGCTTGGAAGCGGAGTCTGAACAATTCACTGAGAGACATCAGCTCCCGCTAGCACCTTTCGAGTACCAGAGGAGCGGCACAGAGCCGGGTTTAGTTCTTATTTTCAACCAGGAGGCGTTCGATGACAAATCGTACAGACGAGGCAGCAGGAGAGACGTCAACGAAATTATCAACTGTGTGAGTCGACTGGGCTTCAACATCAACGACAAGTGTATATTTACAGATTACACTAGAGACGAAATTTTGGAAACGGTGAAAGCCAGTAAGTTTCGATATTCACGAAACGTTGATATTTCAGTCTCGTTTTAGTTGTATGCGAAGATCTGTCCAGATTTAATAGCCTGATCGTGTTTTTTCTGACCCACGGTGATAATTTTAACATGTTGCACGCCCATGACTGTTCGTTACAAACCCATAACTTGTGGGAAGAATTCAGCAAGTGTCCACAACTAGAAGGCAAACCTAAAATGTTCGTCTTCCAGGTAGGTTTTGGCTGGGTTTTCCAGATTTCACAGTCTGAACTTTGTAGGCTTGCAAAGGTGACAATTTTTCCACGGTTTCTGAAGACACGAACGACAAAATCGACCTAGTTGATGATAGCACTTTCCAATCGGACTACATAGGGCCTGATATGCTCATAGTTTATTCCACCACCGAAGGTACAAACTCCGTTTTTAATACCTGCAATATGCACCATATCGATAAAATCTATTAATATCGCTGATAGCAAAATGCATTAACTAAGTAAGTACTTTTTCCAGGAAACGTCTCTTTCAGAGACCCACAAAACGGCACTTGGTTTATCCAGGAGTTGTGTAAGAATTTTCTGGCTTATGGTCGACGCGACGACGTGGTGTCTTTGATCATGAGGACGACGAAATGTCTGTGTAGAAACTACTACCACAACGAAGGGGACATCATTAAGAAGCAGATGCCAGTTTTTGTGTCCACGTTAAGGCGGAAGTTTTATTTGAACAGAACCAAGGAGCGAAACGTATGGTTGCAACTCTTGCAGAACCAGGACAATCTAACCCAAAAGGTTAAAGAGTTGGAAAGGAAAGTCAACAGTCTGTTACAAGAGAAGGACAAACGGGGAAAATAAAAGGAAAATGCGAATTTATTTATTTATTGTTTAGTGAAATTAATTTTTCTGACAAAAGTCATTGTATTGTGTGGTATCTGCCATCTGTTACATAGATCGACCTAATAAACTTCCAGGAATAACACTTCATTGATAATTTTATCAACCATTTAAATGTTTTTATTTTTAACAAATCAGCCACTCACACTTTTTGTTTGAGATTAAGAAATAAATAAAAATTAGAACAAACTATTCGTGTTGTCATATTTTCCAAATGGGTTTTCGTTTTTGGAAGGTCACTTCTGAAAGGGAGGGGTTCCTGGATCGTCGTCCGGAATTCGAGCCCCCGCTTAATCTATGAACGGGACTGGGACCAGCCATGGACGCTTTAGGACTACTGGGACCGTCCGTTTTCACCGACGTTCTAGGACTTTCCACAATCGGCTTATCCTCCCTCTTGACCACCTTAGGCTTGTCTTCGCTCTTCTTCTTAAAACTGAAACTAAACTTCTTCTCCTTCTTCTTCTTCTGGGCGTCCTGAAGCTTCTGGACATCGTCGTGTATTTTCTGCAACATCTCCTCCAGACTCATCTGATTCTCCACAACCGACAAATAGTGGTCTCTTTGGTCGTTCGGCGTCAAATAGAACTTTCGAGTTAAAGTCGAAATCACAAGAGGAACCGACCTGCGGTTGTTGTGGATGTAACTAATGAGATCTATGAAGTCGTACTTCTTGCTATGGTAGACGATGTTGTTGCAGAGTTCGTCCAGAAAAATGTCCACCAGGTCAACCTCTACAATTTTGTGTACACATAAGCCCACACACCCTCTATACTTACCAGCGACTTTCTTATACACGATTAACATGTCTGATTCAGCTGGGAAGTCGTACACTTTGTCGAATTTCATGGTACGGTGCCTCATGGAGTCGGTTTGCACGGCTCCACCACGAGGCTGCGAAGACATCTAAAACCCCAAATAAAAAATAGTTGCTTTGATTGGAGTGCAACTTACACAAAACACGAAAATTTTCGGCTTGTGTTTCAACTCGGGGCAGTTGTTGCCGGAGAAAAAATTCCACACTTGTTTCACGTGGACGTTTTTCGAGAAGTCTTCCTCCGATATGAGGAGAGTGCCGTTCTCCTTGCCGTAGTACCCAATGAAGAACAGAATCAAGGCGCTTTTATTGGGTGCTTCTTTTCTAACTGGATTGTTTGTGGTACTTATTATAAGTTTGATCAAACAAATTCGGTACTTACTCGCTTCGAGGTGAGTCCAAAACTCGTTGGGTTTGTTCAAGTCGTGAAGGTTGCGTTTGGTGTCCACGTCATAGTTGATGAGGCGGACGCTCTTTAGCAGTTCTTCGGCTAGTGGTGTTACTAGGGGTGCGGCGAAAACGTGGAATAGAACGCTCTGGTTTGTGGAGTGTTCGTATTCGTCGGGAATCAGCTCGGTGGAGGGTTTCACGATGATGTCTTCTTCTATAGCAATGAAGGATTTTTTCGTTTAGTGGTTGTGGAAGCCACGCCCGATGCGTCACTTTCCATGGTGTTGGTTTAATTAGACTTGGAATCTAGAAAGAGTTTTATTAAATGGGACACAATGACAAGGACTCGATTGTTTTGTCTGATCGGTGTGTATCATATCGGGACTGAAGTATTGGGATTCAGATAAGATAAAAATTCGAAATTGGCCGCTAGATAACGATTGCTGTTTTGGCTAGTTTGGTACTATCATGTTTGAATATTTCAATTAAGATTGAATTTTGTTTGCTTTATTTATTAACGTTTTTGTTTCGCAAGGAAATATCTTACTTATCAAATATTGCTGATATGGAACAAATACGCGTGTTGCGCAATTATTAAAAATGTATAAGTGCATGTGCATTATCAAGGTTTAAAGTTCCACACTACGATTGTCGAGTACCTAATTTTTTAGTTTGTAGTCTAGATTTTTACTGGTTTGATGAATTGACTATGGATAACCGCTTAAAATAATTTACTTTTTTGAAACCGTACCACCTCAGCTAATAACTACATTAATTACAGATTTAACGAAGGTAGTGGAAGCGCAAAGTGATCATAAGTCATATCCGCTTTCAGTTCTTCGATAAATCCATTGGTTTTTCCAGAATCGTCCTTTGAAATACGCAAAAATATGCAAAATACCACCAATTTTCGACCAATTTTCAACGAAATTTTCGAAATTTCACTAAATAAATTTTCTAGTAGATTTCGGGCCGCAGAAAAAAAAGGGGACAAACAAATTTTTCTCGCTTATTTGAAGAGATACGTCAAGGGCGAATACGGAATCGCAATCCTGAGGAAATTCCGCGTGAAATGACACCCAACACGGTCGAAAACGGACCAATTTTGAAAAATTAAAAATAAAGGGGGGCACACAAATTTGCATTTTTCTCGCTTATTTGAAGAGATACGTCAAAAGCGAATACGGAATCGCAATCCTGAGAAAATTCCGCGTGAAATGACACCCAACACGGTCGAAAACGGACCAATTTTGAAAAATTAAAAATAAAGGGGGGCACACAAATTTGCATTTTTCTCGCTTATTTGAAGAGATACGTCAAAAGCGAATACGGAATCGTAATCCTGAGGAAATTCCGCGTGAAATGAAACCCAACACGGTCGAAAACGGACCAATTTTGAAAAATAAAAAATAAAGGGGGGCACGCAAATTTGCATTTTTCTCGCTTATTTGAAGAGATACGTCAAAAGCGAATACGGAATCGCAATCCTGAGGAAGTTCCGCGTGAAATGACACCCAACACGGTCGAAAACGGACCAATTTTGAAAAATTATAAATAAAGGGGGGCACACAAATTTGCATTTTTCTCGCTTATTTGAAGAGATACGTCAAAAGCGAATACGGAATCGCAATCCTGAGGAAATTCCGCGTGAAATGACACCCAACACGGTCGAAAACGGACCAATTTTGAAAAATAAAAAATAAAGGGGGGCACACAAATTTGCATTTTTCTCGCTTATTTGAAGAGATACGTCAAAAGCGAATACGGAATCGCAATCCTGAGGAAATTCCGCGTGAAATGAAACCCAACACGGTCGAAAACGGACCAATTTTGAAAAATTAAAAATAAAGGGGGGCACACAAATTTGCATTTTTCTCGCTTATTTGAAGAGATACGTCAAAAGCGAATACGGAATCGCAATCCTGAAGAAATTCCGCGTGAAATGACACCCAACACGGTCGAAAACGGACCAATTTTGAAAAATTTGAAAAAAAAAGGGGGGCACACAAATTTGCATTTTTCTCGCTTATTTGAAGAGATACGTCAAAAGCGAATACGGAATCGTCATCCTGCGGAAATTCCGCGTGAAATGATACCCAACACGGTCGAAATCGGACCAATTTTGAAAATTAAAAAAAAGGGGGCACACAAATTTGCTTTTTTCTCGTTTATTTGAAGAGATACGTCAAAAGCGAATACGGAATCGTAATCCTGAGGAAATTCCGCGTGAAATGAAACCCAACACGGTCGAAAACGGACCAATTTTGAAAAATAAAAAATAAAGGGGGGCACGCAAATTTGCATTTTTCTCGCTTATTTGAAGAGATACGTCAAAAGCGAATACGGAATCGCAATCCTGAGGAAGTTCCGCGTGAAATGACACCCAACACGGTCGAAAACGGACCAATTTTGAAAAATTATAAATAAAGGGGGGCACACAAATTTGCATTTTTCTCGCTTATTTGAAGAGATACGTCAAAAGCGAATACGGAATCGTAATCCTGAGGAAATTCCGCGTGAAATGAAACCCAACACGGTCGAAAACGGACCAATTTTGAAAAATTAAAAAAAAAAGGGGGGGCACACAAATTTGCATTTTTCTCGCTTATTTGAAGAGATACGTCAAAAGCGAATACGGAATCGTAATCCTGAGGAAATTCCGCGTGAAATGAAATCCAACACGGTCGAAATTGGAACAATTTTGAAAATTAAAAAAAAAGGGGGGTACACATATTTGCTTTTTTCTCGTTTATTTGAAGAGATACGTCAAAAGCGAATACGGAATCGTAATCCTGAGGAAATTCCGCGTGAAATGATACCCAACACGGTCGAAAACGGACCAATTTTGAAAAATTAAAAAAAAAGGGGGTACTCAAATTTGCATTTTTTCTCGCTTATTTGAAGAGATACGTCAAAAGCGAATACGGAATCGTAATCTTGAGGAAATTCCGCGTGAAATGAAACCCAACACGGTCGAAAACGGACCAATTTTGAAAAATTAAAAAAAAAGGGGGGCACACAAATTTGCATTTTTCTCGCTTATTTGAAGAGATACGTCAAAAGCGAATACGGAATCGTAATCTTGAGGAAATTCCGCGTGAAATGAAACCCAACACGGTCGAAAACGGACCAATTTTGAAAAATTAAAAAAAAAAAGGGGGGGGCCCACAAATTTGCATTTTTCTCGCTTATTTGAAGAGATATGTCAAAAGCGAATACGGAATCGTGATCCTGAGGAAATTCCGCGTGAAATGATACCCAACACGGTCGAAAACAGACCAATTTTGAAAAATTAGAAAAAAAGGGGGGCACACAAATTTGCATTTTTCTCGCTTATTTGAAGAGATACGTCAAAAGCGAATACGGAATCGTAATCCTGAGGAAATTCCGCGTGAAATGATACCCAACACGGTCGAAAACGGACCAATTTTAAAAAATTAAAAAAAAAAAGGGGGGCACACAAATTTGCATTTTTCTCGCTTATTTGAAGAGATACGTCAAAAGCGTATACGGAATCGTAATCTTGAGGTAATTCCGCGTGAAATGAAACCCAACACGGTCGAAAACGGACCAATTTTGAAAAATTAAAAAAAAAAGGGGGGCACACAAATTTGCATTTTTCTCGCTTATTTGAAGAGATACGTCAAAAGCGAATACGGAATCGTAATCCTGAGGAAATTCCGCGTGAAATGAAATGCAACACGGTCGAAATCGGAACAATTTTGAAAATTAAAAAAAAGGGGGGCTACACATATTTGCATTTTTCTCGTTTATTTGAAGAGATACGTCAAAAGCGAATACGGAATCGTAATCCTGAGGTAATTCCGCGTGAAATGATACCCAACACGGTCGAAAACGGACCAATTTTGAAAAATTAAAAAAAAAGGGGGGCACACAAATTTGCATTTTTCTCGCTTATTTGAAGAGATACGTCAAAAGCGAATACGGAATCGTAATCCTGAGGAAATTCCGCGTGAAATGAAATCCAACACGGTCGAAATCGGAACAATTTTGAAAATTAAAAAAAAGGGGGGGTACACATATTTGCATTTTTCTCGTTTATTTGAAGAGATACGTCAAAAGCGAATACGGAATCGTAATCCTGAGGTAATTCCGCGTGAAATGATACCCGACACGGTCGAAAACGGACCAATTTTGAAAAATTAAAAAAAAAAGGGGGGCACACAAATTTGCATTTTTCTCGCTTATTTGAAGAGATATGTCAAAAGCGAATACGGAATCGTAATCCTGAGGAAATTCCGCGTGAAATGATACCCAACACGGTCGAAAACGGACCAATTTTGAAAAATTAAAAAAAAAGGGGGGCACTCAAATTTGCATTTTTTCTCGCTTATTTGAAGAGATACGTCAAAAGCGAATACGGAATCGTAATCCTGAGGAAATTCCGCGTGAAATGAAACCCAACACGGTCGAAATCGGACCAATTTTGAAAAATAAAAAAAAAAAGGGGGGCACACAAATTTGCATTTTTCTCGCTTATTTGAAGAGATACGTCAAAAGCGAATACGGAATCGTAATCCTGAGCAAATTCCGCGTGAAATGAAACCCAACACGGTCGAAAACGGACCAATTTTGAAAAATTAAAAAAAAAGGGGGCCCCCAAATTTGCATTTTTCTCGCTTATTTGAAGAGATACGTCAAAAGCGAATACGGAATCGTAATCCTGAGGAAATTCCGCGTGAAATGAAACCCAACACGGTCGAAAAAGGACCAATTTTGAAAAATTAAAAAAAAAGGGGGGCACTCAAATTTGAATTTTTTCTCGCTTATTTGAAGAGATACGTCAAAAGCGAATACGGAATCGTAATCTTGAGGAAATTCCGCGTGAAATGAAACCCAACACGGTCGAAAACGGACCAATTTTGAAAAATTAAAAAAAAAGGGGGCACACAAATTTGCATTTTTCTCGCTTATTTGAAGAGATACGTCAAAAGCGAATACGGAATCGTAATCTTGAGGAAATTCCGCGTGAAATGAAACCCAACACGGTCGAAAACGTACCAATTTTGAAAAATTAAAAAAAAAAGGGGGGGGCCCACAAATTTGCATTTTTCTCGCTTATTTGAAGAGATATGTCAAAAGCGAATACGGAATCGTGATCCTGAGGAAATTCCGCGTGAAATGATACCCAACACGGTCGAAAACAGACCAATTTTGAAAAATTAGAAAAAAAGGGGGGCACACAAATTTGCATTTTTCTCGCTTATTTGAA